AACTTAAAAGGAACTAAATTAGCAATGAATTGACATGCATCATCTTTAAAAAGGTGTGTTTCAGTGTTCTCATTTACTGTTATATTTGTATTATTATTCAGGTTAAAGAGTACAAAGCATGCAATTGCGTTTTGTTCAGAACCACTCAGTGCATTCTGAAGGTACCTTTCACGTACATTGAATATCATCAAAATACGGACAACTTTGTACGGACATTATAATTGGTTCACATTATTTGTTATATTGCCCTGTGGCAGGTATGGAACAAAAACATCTGCCGAATAAAAATAATTATATTGCTTTTAAGCCATAATTGCACGATACAATTCCGTTTTTCGGCCTGTGATGTTGGTTGCATAGAGGTAATTGTATAGAGTGTATATTTTCATTTTGTTTGTTTAAAAATTAAGTAGCCAGAAGAAAAAGACATCTCACAAATAATTCACGTAATTTGTAAACATGCTGAAGATGCCAGAGGGAAAAGTGGCAGAGCACGTCTGTTATCTTCATTGAAAATAGAAATACATTTGCCAGTATGTGAACTCGGCACAATATACAATTCCCTTTCATCTGGCCGAATTTAAACAGAAATTGCAATCCTGTCGTACAAATTTGTCAATGTTCTTTCACAGCTCTCGGTAGTTTTGAGAACTGATAAAAGGATCACTGTTTAAAACTTCAGCTGTTTACTTTTCTGTTAGTTAGCCTTTGTGAGTGGACCAGTGCAAAGGAGGTTCAGTCATTCAATGCACAGTGCTATGAACCTGGCGACCCTAGTTCGATACCTGGCCATGGCTAACGTCATTGGTGAGTGATACCGGAACCGGTCCTGGACAAGCAATGACCTTGTCCCAAGTGTTTTCAACAACCCCCACTGACCAGTGCGGTGAAGTATAGTAAACAACCCCCATGAGCAACATGGCATGGGTAGGGGCATATGCATACATATTGATGTCAAAAAGTAGTAGGATTATTTTTTATTGCTCTGCGATGTGTCTCCACGTTGCACCGTGTGTTGCTCTGCACAATGTCCGACATTTCAATTCCTCCCAGACAAAGTAAATACACAATATCAGCTGGCCTATATCGGACGCCAGTAGAAGCCGGCAACGCTCTACAATCGAGGGAGAACGCGTGCTGCTCAGTTCCATTCCTGCAGCTCCTTAGCATGTGGATTGAGAACGTTGGACATCATGCCGAACAACACACAACAGAGCACAAAAGCACATTAGTGGGCTGCACAGCACAGCCGCCAAAACCTACAAACTAGTAATATTATTTTACTTTTAAAAGTATCACACTAGTTTTTTGGTTTAACACGTAGGCTTTCGCGACCAATACCATCCATGATACAGGGTTTTTTTTGGTTAGATTGCGTAAATATATAAAAGTGAGAAACGGGAGGATTTTTTCACAAATCTGGCTGTTGCCTGAAGCTAGTTGTAATTACTGGCGAAATGTCGTACTCAGATTGTAAATGTTATGACTTTGCTCTCCAACACACCGGTGTGCTGTACTAGTGATGAATTGGCACGTTCTGTTTACGTGACAAACTTTACTAGTTGGCTGTGTCGGGTGGTGGCGGGTTTAACGACACATTTATATATTTACGCGATCTAACCCAAAAAAAACCTGCATTATGGATGTACATTTTTTTGTTGAGCTACCGAAGATAACGGTGCAGGGCGTCCCAAAAAATAACGGGTAAATACCGCTGTGTATGACACTCATTGAAAAAGGCTAACCACTCAGATCACCATTTGCAGACTTTCTTAAAATTCACAACCCTCACTCCCCGGCATGTTCACCACATCCGGTTGCTCTAGGAGACTAATTAAATAGATGTCCTGGTCTACTGCCAGAGGAAAAGGCCAAGTAAACGTAGCCTCTAGAAACACTTTTGCCCCACTGGCATTCACACTTGGTTTGCCAATCGGCATTCCAGAGGCAATTGGAGGCATTCAGTTGATCGAGATTTTTATTTAATTAAAAGTCCTACTGTGAAGCATGACCACCGATTCACTATTTAGATAAAGTGTTTTGGCCAGTGCAACCCAACGAATCGGATCCACATGAAATGTGTGCACTGTGGAAAATAAGTCCCCATTTCATTTAACAAAGTGCATCTACTTCCAGAATCTAATTAGAAATTACCATTAAAAATGCGATCATTTTGTCAAAAAAACAAACTGCTTCGCCATAATTTATAAGCACAACACTGCATAATTGCTCACACTCCAATTGGACATTTTTATTCTTAAAACACTAAAAAAGTTAAATGTTATTCATATTGAAATTATGGTACTTTTATACTGTTTTCAATTATATTTTAAAAGGGCAACATTTCTCCGTAACAACCTCGCTCTCCCGTGACATTCTAGTGAATCGTCACAATGCAGGGTTTCATTCGGATTCAAGAATCAATTAATTTTGTCCAAGTTTGATTGCCATGTTTGAATTGTATGTGTTTTTGTCATTTTTCAGAATAGCGTTCAACTTGTCAACCTAAAAATACCACTGGCATATAATTTGCATTCATCATAGATGATATTATCAAATGTTGCACACAAGATTCGATGCGTGCATTGTCAAAGGTGCAGCCCTACATTTCTTTGCTCATGCTACTGCTGGGGGTATTGCCTCCACTAGAGGGAGCTCTAGATTCCCACTCAAGGATATTTGGCCTACTCTCACACACTCGCTTGATGTAGAAATTCAATAAAACAAATACAAGTTTAGAAGTCTTTCCACAAAATTCTCCCTCGTCAGAAAACGTACAGCCTCCCCGAGGCAATACGCACAACCAAATCCGTCACTGTATTCAAGTCACAACTCAAAACACATCTCTATACGCTTGCATACAAACAACTAACTCACAACCACACGCTTTTCTTTCCAACTTTCTTTTTTAAATTGTATAGAAATATATTTTTGATTCTTTCGGTAAAGTCACGTAGAAGAGAAATAATAAAATAAATAAAATAAAACAATGTAAAGTAGCCCCTTAGCCTGGCTCTCCTCCCTCTATCCCGGAGCCCCCTACTTCCTAACCACTCACACTCCTCTGACTCTCGGCGAAGACCCCGTCCACGTCACGGGTCTCTCCTCAAATCCCCCGGGGGCCATGACCTCACTTTACCTTGACGGCATTCGCCCGAGGCGAGTGTGACCGGACGTCCGCACTCCACTCCTCAACACAATTATCACGACGTTTCGATTGCAACACAAGAAATCATCATCAGGTGTGAAAACCACAGCAAGAAAATTTGAAAAAAAGTGGCGGTTTTTTCTTAACGTCAGCACCACGGACAGCAACTGGCGGTTGTTCAGATGGACAAGTCCATCTATGCTCGGAACGGAAGAGGGGGGAGAGAAAGAGAATGGAATGCGGTCTGAAAGTCACCGTAAGCGTGAATACAATCAATTAAGACCCAAAATGGTTTGTCAAATCCTTCCAATGATTGCTAAGCCAGAATCCATCTTCTCGGTTGAAATTGTCTCTGTGTTTGTATACGTGCTGTGGTTTTCACACCTGACGATGATTGCTTGTGTTGCAATCAAAACGTCGTGAGAATTTTATTGTTTTATTTTTATTATTTCCCTTCTACGTGACTTTACCGAAAGAACCAAGAATATGAATCCCTGCAGTTACGAAAGCTTTAAATCGAAATGTAAATCTGTATAGAATTGTTTATCCTAACGTGTGCAACGGATGTGATGGCGCTTTGGGTGGCAGACGTGTGCCAGAAAGACGCCAAAGTGTTAACCAAAAATAAATTCATCTTCTTGATTTTTTCGGTAAAGTCACGTAGAATGGAAATAATAAAATAATAAAAATAAAACATAATAAAATAATTCTCACCACTTTACCGAAAGAACCAAGAAGATGAATCCCTGCAGTCACGAAAGCTTTAAATCGAAAAAAAACCAAAATAAATTGACTTCATTTTGACAACGTATTGAATCAATACTTTTAAGGAAGCCTTGGATACATTTGAAGTGGAAATGAGCTCCGCGTGATAGATTCCATGCAAACGCAGGCAGTTATAATGGGGCAACTACCTTAAAAAAAGCACAATGCTCACAATACACGGTGTGCGTATAGTGGCTGTTCAAGAACAAAATCTAAAAACGATAACTCGCTTACCTTAATTGAATAAAACAGGGCGATCTTAGTTGGAACAAATTGAGGAAACTCAGTGTATCACGGTGCGAGCACAACACAGGATAGCAACGTGAGTTTTAATGAGCGTATGCTTCTAAAAGCCTTCACTTGAATGAGCAAGAAGCAGTGAAATAGCGCCATGCTCTTAATCACAGCTCTGCGGGTCATCGTACATCTGGGTCGCGTGGCAAAATGAAGCAACGCAAACGGGACAGGCATCTGAAACACGATGTTCCATCATCATTGATATATTAAATGTATTTGCCAAGGAAATAAAGTTTTAGACATTTGGAGATTTTTTGTTTTACTTTATAACACAAAGCAAAGCACTCAGCACACTATATCGCTTGGCCGTAAAGATGCATTTTGGAAATATGAAAAGACAGGCACTAGTTCGTACGGTTATTTAGACTTATTGGTGGTGAGAGGGAATAGAAAATCGATGTGAATAAAGAGTTACCATAAATGAAGTGAGGGATAATATAAATATTGTATTTGTCCAGCAACTATTTTCCAGCGAGCTTCACTGAAACAATATGCTCAAATATTTACAATAAATGTATGCACAATACCAGAGACTGCTATGCCAGCCTTACCAAAGGATGAAGTGAAAAATATTATAATAGATATGGTTGCCCTTTTTCGACCCTAAAAAACACTATGTCTGCTGCACCGTAGATGTTGGAAACTGTCACGTTATTCAAAAAACGAGTCGGCTAAACGACCCGGCAGTCACGGTCAACATTTTACGAACTAAAAAAAAATCACAATGCAACATTGCCTCCTGCTGGCAGAATATAAGAATACTAAATATACAAGCTAATACAAAGCTCACCTCTCTTTGAACTCCACTGACACATTTTCAGAGGGAGCCTTCTGGACACCCTCCAGGGATACGTACACCTTCAGGAACTTCTCCGACTGGTCCCATCCTATACGCGAAGCATTGCAAGCACCAGAGAGAACAAATTAGGACACTCCAAGCTGTTACCGTTCCCCCCTAACACTGAATTTTCAGCCCGACAATCGCCGCTAACACAGTCACTTGAACGTTGATGATTCGCCATCTAGACGCCCTTCTACCTGACATCATCAACGAGTGGACAGCTAGATGCATAATACAGATTTTTTTTTGGGTTAGAGCGCGTAAATATGTGTCGTTAAACCCGCCACCACCCCACACAGCCAATTAGTAAGAGTTGTTACGAAACAGAGCATGTCAATTCGTGACTAGTACAGTGCATGGGTGTGTTGGAGAGCCAAGCTACAACATTTGCAATCTGAGTACGACGTTTCGCCAGTAATTACAACTAGCTTCATCAGGCGACAGCCAGATTTGTGGAGAAGTCCACCTGTTTCATTCCTTAAATAGAGGCGTAGATGTGATGACAACACTTGTGCGCTCTTCTTGCGTGAAGTGGGAGTTAATGAATCAACGTACATTATGCATGAGCATTATGCGGACCCATTGATCTTGTACTTCAGTGTCCATTGTGTACTAAAATAGCCATACCAACAGTAATCCCTATTGAAGTATGGTGGCCTGTATAGGCATGCATTTAAAACATTTAATATTTTATTATTCGCTTTCAAGCAGCACTAAGTCTGTAGCTATCCGAACGGTTAAAATAATTTCTCTCAATTTCGATAGATTCTCTAATAAGTCTTGGCCAGTAGTAACTAGTTTTGCATAGAATTTCAACATTATCAAAATGTATTGAGTGTCATTGTTGGCATGCGTGTTCTGCTACTGGTGACAGTTGTATTTGGGAGTATTTCATATTTCTTTGGTGTGCTTTCAGTCTCATGCTGATCATTCGTCTGTTAGCCCAACATAGCATTTGCCACAAGTGCAATTAATCCGGTACACACCTTCTGTTGATAGCTTCGGTAATACATCTTTTGTACGAGAAAATTTATTTATGTATTTTATGTACCATGCTAATGTGACTTGGATGTTTTATTTTTCCAAACATCTGGCAATGTATGGTATTTTAATAGTGAATTGGTTTTGGCATTCAATGCCCTGTTGATTTGTGCATCATTGTAACCGTTCAATTGCAGCGATTTTTTTACATGTTTAATTTCACTTATCAAACTATCACTATCTGACACTTTCTTAGCCCAATGAATGAGCATCGTGATGAGAGCGGATTTATGTGCGAGGTGATTGTGTGGGTTTTCTTTCGGTAAACGCTGTGTTATTTTACCATTTCGACCCCGTCTGAGCAGATTATCCAGAAATGGTCGAGTTCTGTCAGCTTCCACTTGCATGGCGAACTGGATGGATGGGTTTTGCGAGTTTACATTATTTAGAAATTCATTAAGTGTATATTTGCCGTGTGGCCAAACCACCAATGTGTCATCCACATATCTAAACCAAGCAGAGGGTTTTAGTGTGCTTGAAGCTATTGCTTTTGTTTAAAATCTTCCATGTACAAATTCGCTATCACGGGAGACAAAGGAGATCCCATTGCTGCTCCTTCCTTTTGTTTATACAAGTCACCTTTCCACAAGAAATAGGTATTCTTTAGACAGTGTGCAGCTAGTCATGGGATATGTTTGGCTAAACTTATGTTCGTTAGCAAAGTGTCGAGTAATTAAAATTGACTCATTAACTGGAACCCTCGTGAACAGATAAGTCACAAAAACGTATGAGAATAGCATTAGGGTTAAGCTTAACACTTTTTAATTATATTTACGAGATGTTCAGAGTTTTTAATGAACGAAGAGGTCCTACCGATGTAGGGCTGTATTTGTTTCATTATGTATTGTGCTCATTTGTATGTGGCAGGTGGCAGAGCCTACTGTACTAACTAGATGCATGCTGCAACATTCGTGTAATGCGTGTCGAGTGTGTTGCATTATCGCACAAAAACACATACGCAAAAACACACATGGTAAATAAATCGTTCTCAGTCGATTCATTCACACCTTCCAACGGATGTGGCACTCTCATGGCACTACTTATCAATGCAGAGATGAAAATCTTATCAGCGTCAAACCGCGTACAGCCGAAATATCACCCCCGTGTTCCGGAAAACAGACCTAATTTAGTAAACCGTGTTTAGCCGAAACATGCGTTCGATAAAGTCACATTGGGCCAAGTTGTCCTGTATTACAATTATTGTGAACTGCACTGCTCGTATTTATGAATATTGAACTTCTTTCATACCGTACGTAGCCAACGATGTGTGGGGGAGGATAAACTAAACACAAAAAGTAAATCCAAAGAAATTAGTTTCCAATCTAGATGATTTAAAGTGCATTGCTCCAGTGGCTTCCTAATATCGGAAGGAAGATGGCCGCAGAAGTGCATCCGAAGCGTGAGATGCAGTAACCGTCTTTGTTCGATGGCTAGCCAAAAGCTACTTGCGAGGATGACCATGTGATGGTTTATGCTTCTTGACGCGATCAGCAAGGTATTGTGTTATCATCTCACCTGCTCTCATGGAAAAATGTCTGGCTCAACGTCGCTGTGACAATCGGCTATAACTCAAGGTGTGTAAACGTGTCGTGGAGACAACTTTATATCGTCTGACCCCCCTGCTCATGTATGTGTACTGCATGCATCTCTATAGGTCACCATAGTTGCTGAGCTTGGTGGTGGAGGGTGGCCCAGCAGTAGCTGCCTTAGGGGACGCGTCGGCCGCCTTGCTCTGCTGCGCCCGACTGCTGGCCTCACGATCCACCCTGCGCAGCTCCTTCTTGAGCAGCTCCTGAACGGCGGGCCGGGTGGCACTCTCCAGCAGCTTCTTCAGCTCCTCCTGGTCCAACAGGAGCTGTAGAACGAAAACAAACTAAGAGAACAGAAATGCATGTGCCAGCCATGCCCGTGTGCGCCGATGGGAAGCGTTGGCAGAGCGGTTAGTGCGCTGCGCTAACCAATCCGGCGATCCGGGTGCGATTCCCGCTCACGGTCAACGCCGGTGACAATTATCTGAACCGGTTCTGGGCCTCCCCTAGGTCTACTCAGCCTCCGATGAGTACCTGGTGCGGTGTGTAAACATTAACACTGGGGAGATAAAGGCGGTCGGGTGTGGTGCTGGCTACCCACCCCCTCGTGTACCCTCCCGGCCTTCACAAGTGTTCGTTAACAGAATTTGGCCTCAACAGTCTGTTAATGCTATACTGGGGATCTTTATCTTTGTTGTGTGTGATGACGCATCGATTCTCTGATGCGTTTTAGCTGCGTGCCGCGAATTGTTTGGCAAGATGCCCAACGTGTCGCTTCATGTGCTGGGAGCTTCTTTGTGACACCTGTTAAGGGAATTATGATATCACGATGGTGACAACTGCAGCATGATGATGAACAACATCAGCTTCCACATCCTCATTATCATTAATCATCATCACATGCACAAGTGGAAAATCACAAGACTCTTTTGTAGGACTGCAACTTCAAACTCCAAGCCATGGTCCATGTAATTTCGTAATGTCCAAAATATTACTTTGTTAGTTGCTTTTCATACGCCATACGAAAGAAAAATATCTTTTTGGTTCTTTCGGTAAAGTCACGTAGAATGGAAATAATAAAATAATAAAAATAAAACATAATAAAATAATTTTCACGACGTTTCGGCCAAAACGCAAGCAGCCGTCCTCAGGTGAAGAACAGGTCTGTCGACTCTGTCTTCTCGACAGAACTGTTCTTCACCTGAGGACGGCTGCTTGCGTTGTGGACGAAACGTCATGAAAATTATTTTATTATGTTTTATTTTTATTATTTTATTATTTCCATTCGACGTGACTTTACCGAAAGAACCAAGAAGATGAATCCCTGCAGTCACGAAAGCTTTAAATTGAAAAAAAAAGATAATAACAAATGTTGGATGCATTTTGATTTTCATTGTTTCAAACTGAAGGAAAGGGAAAATATGATGAATGTGTCGCTCACTTTTTCTTATTTGATTTCTGTGTGGATAATAACAATGAATGTGCTGCCACTTGGGGTGGCCTCCCCTTATCAGGGCTTCCGCACAATTCATAGGAACAATCTATCGAACGATAATGAGAAGCACTTTGCTGCAAGTTAACTGCGGTTGTCCTATACAGAGACTAGCCCCTACCAAAGGAATGTGGCTCAAGGTTGCAGACAATATACAGGGACTCCTCTACTTACGAACATTCGGCTCACGAACTTTCAGAGATACAAACAAACCTGTCCGTATGTTCAGTTGCAGCTGTACGGACCGAGAGTCTTAAGTTCAACTGCCGCACAATAAATGGAGGTGGTGGCATCTACATCTGCAGAACATGAAGAACCAGTGGCATCTACAGAAGATTATACAACTTTTAAAGCCATTCCGCGTGTTTAGTGCACATGCCGTACAGCACGTTTAGAATCAGCAGCAGTAAAGTTGGACAAATAGACTTACGAACAGACCTCTGGAACCTAACTCGTCCGGAAGTAAAAAAAAAAGTCCCTTATATGCAATGCCCTATGCACTTTGGAGCAGAAAACAACTTTGGCTTTTCCAATTTCAAAAAGCTGACGGGATAGACACACTGGGAGAATAGAAACTCGCATTTTGTCACAGACTCGGGGATTCCATGAAATATTACACAATAGTCGAGAGCCATGCCTTTACCGCTCACAAAAAAATCAAAGCTGCCCTATATAAAGATTTCCCACAAGTGTTGTGTTTGCAAGCCCATTTGTCATGGTCATTGGGAATAGCTTATAATTATAACTCCAGGAGCAATGCAGTCCAAGGGGAAAAAATACCCCAAAGGGGTCATAGTACAATTTACATATATTTTATAAATGGAGCAAAACGTAGAGCTGCAGCCCTACAATTGTTTGGTTATGCCACTGCTGGCAGAAAGGATCTCAACTCTTGGGGGCTCGATAGAGCCCCTCCAGAAGGTATTCGGCCTACTCTTCCACGCTAGCCAAACGTCTTTGAAAAGGTGGGAGATACCTACACTTTACCCAACCTGACGCGACCTGCTAATCGGTTACTGCTGGGTGGAGAGATGAAAAGAATTAAGAAACCTGCAGATTGCTTCAAATACCACATACAGGCATCCAATTGGAAAGGCTACCTATACCACAGTTAATGGTTAGTGTGTTAACAATCATACCATGGCAGAATCCCCAAAAATGGAAGTACTACACTGTAATTGAGATACAATCAATAATTTTTGGTGAAATAATTGGGTCCCTGAAATGCACATTTTTAACCGTGCCAACTTAAGGTTAATTGCTATCAGCCTCATTTTAAAAAAAATACATTTTTTTGTGATAGACTTGTTATAGGTTTCCAGTGCTAATGATGAATTTAAATTGTGCTAACTCGAGCGTGGATGCCAAAATGTACATTAAAAATGAATGACAGTTTGAAACATGTTCAAATGGTTTGGAATATTATAACATTTAAAGTTTTACCACTGAAACATTAAAATCTCATACATCTTAAATTAATTATGTAGTAAAACTCGACTAATGCTTAACCGGTAAAAAAATTTTGTCACGATTCCTTTGCAAGAATTATCAGAAAATGATAAGGCAATATAATCAAGTACAATTTGCATACATTTTTCATTGTGTTATTTTCAAAATATACTTTACTTTGCAATATTGTATATTTTTTACTTTAATTCCCTATCAATTAGTCTTCACGTGCAATGTTTTGTTAATGGAAAACCAGATGCCAAAATATCAGCTAATTGCTAACGTAATCTGTTTCCCTCTGTGCAACAAAGCTACACTGGGTAGCCCTTTAGAACCAGCCCAGCTCACCAAGCACCATATTGCTTTTCCACTGCAGAAGGCGAGCCGTGCCAGTGACGTCGCACCCAATGAATACGTCGCTGGACGTGGCCCTGATTGGTCCGGAGCCAGATTCAGATGTTTTATGAGGCCAGGGTATCACCATTTAGTTCGGGGTTCAGCTTGGCAAATAACCAGTGGAAAACCATACTATGAGGGCCATGAACTGACTTGGCTAGGATGTGCCAGTGGAAAATGGGTATTCACTTTGAATGTATTCAGATCACATGGACAAAGGCACACTGCTAATAATAGTACAAGTAGTCCCCGAGTTACGATGGTCCGATTTACGATATTTCGATCTTACGATGGCGATAGCGATACGACAAAATTGCCATCAACAACCCAACATCGTTCAAGTATGCAGACGACGGACAGAATCTTGGTGAGTACAGTAAAATATGTTACAATACGTTCAATGCATGTATGATACGTAGCGTTAGCGATTTGATTTTAAGGTTACCACGATACGATACGTTCAATGCATGTTAAAAGTGTTCATAGCAGATAGGATTGTTTCCTGAAAAAAACTTTCTATTAAATTGCAGTTCATGAAGGTAAGCTAAGAATTTACCTTTTTTTACTTTACATTTCACCGTGCAATGCAGTATTGCAATTAATAAATACATACAGTATATAGTTTATACAGTACGGTACTGTAAATTGCTCTGTTTTGCTAAATTATCACCATTCTTTAAGACTCCTGGGTAGGCTAGGCCATCTTCGACTTACGATATTTTTGATTTACGATGGGGTCGTCGTAACGCATCTCCGTCGTAAGTCGAGGACTACCTGTATAAGGCTCAGTGGTTCTTTAACCTGGGCTGTGAGATGATGGCCTTTCTGGGTGTGCGAGACATGCCAGATTTTTTTTTTAGCACGGGCACGTAAGTACAACAGCTTTGTTTCATCAAACACATGTATTTATGACCATTTTTTTTACGACTGAGAACCAAAAGGGGGTGTAAGGCTGCAGAAAAGGTTAAGAACCAATAGCACATCTCATCGGTCTTAATTTTGGAGTTTTCGTGACTGCAGGAATTATTCTTTGGTTTTTTCGGTAAAGTCACGTATAAAGATAAAATAATAAATTAAATAATTTTATTTTATCTTTATACGTGACTTTAATAGAAAGAATACATCTCATCGGATTCCTCCAGCAAGAATAAATATTCTGATTCTGGATGGGTGGCCCAATATACCGTCAAGTCAAATAGCCACCACGACCCGCTCGGCGTGGAGAGGCAATCATCCAGCAGTGGATTGACAAAAAGCATTTAGAGCAGAGTCGGGTACAGGTAAGAAAGAGGAAGTATCCACTCGGTTGATTCAAGGTGCTTTCCAAGAAGAGGAAATAAAACACGCGAATAGTTTAACACGTCAATAACCAAAAGCAAAGTATGTACCGGTTGGTGAAGAACACAACCATCGCACGCGCTTAGCTCTCTCTGCTGCTCATTATATTTTCTAGGAAACACGTAGTGATGAGTGGAAAATAGTTCATGACCTTAAAACGTACGAACCAAAAACAATTTTTTTTTTTTAATGACAATTCATCGTCAGCGGCAGCAGCCGTCGTCATGAGCAATCCACTGCTGGATGGATGCCTCTGCCAAGGCGAGGCGTTGTCTAACAAACACAGACGATGCACTCACGCACACCGGCCAAATTCATCGCTCCATCTCCCCGTTTTGAGTTCTCTCGGACGAAAGTTAATGTCTGTTCCGCAAGATGGTCCAGATGTCTTGTGACCCCCCATCCAATCACCCATTAGATTCTCTCGTACTTGTTTTTTCTTCTGAAAGTGAGGTTTATTTATGAACATAAATGAAGATGCCGTGGAAATAAATGATAGGGGTGAATTAATTTTGAGTCACGAGACATCTGGACACCGTACTGTAGTAGTACAACCACGTGTTATGCGTTATATCGACCATCACAATATCGTACTGTATACGCATACAAATCCACAATATTTCTAGATATCGGAGCAACGTATAGCATTCAGGTGATTTGTGAACGTTTGGGAATTATTTGTCGCTGTTAATGATGAAGTGACGATTTTAACTATCGGTTTGTTTGAACACAATACCGGCCCGTGTGTTCTCTACATGCACACACACACGCACATGTGCGCGCTAGTCACGAACAACGCATCATTAACTTGTCGATTGAATGGCAACTACACAACAACCAAACGTTGAGATAACAACGCGATAATTAGGTTAAGTCTCGTCAAACGGGGGCACAAAAACGGCACATCTTTCACAAAGGCCGCAACCGCCGCGTTGCATCCTTACGCCTTTCCTGAATCTTCTGCCCGGTTTCGAGACGCGTTCAAAAACACCCCCCCCCCCCCACACACACACGTCCGATACGACGTAAGACTTTGGCGGCTTTATCATCAACGCAAGTCACTCTCGGTAGGTTTCTACGAGCAGAGCAAAACGACGTTGACCAGCGACACTTACATCCTCGACGCTTGCCATTTGTGCTGGGTCGGTAAGCGAACACAGTCCGTGTAACGAGCGAGTGGTGTTGATAGTGGGCGACCTTGCCAGATGGAAGGTGTTTACCTCTAGAAGTCTCCGTGTTTTAAAAATAAATAATTTATTGCCGCAGAATTTTCTAGAGCCCCTGCCGGCTATTGCTGGAATAACATCGTGTAGTTTAAAATAGATTATCCATTCGGTTACTCGACTTAATAGAGCACCAACACATTTGGAGGTGTAGGCAAAACAAACAAATGTCTCTACTCGTCTGTGCCGCTGGACGGGAGGTGATGGCCAGGACTTGGTGACGTCTTCGACATGAACGTACGCTGGGCGTGGCTTTATGGGGGGTTTCCAGCCTTCTGCATGTTGGTGTGCCAGAAATATTTAAAGGATCTCCAAATACTGGAATCGACCACAAAAAAACGCGTCTACAAAATAGTAAATTTAAATGTTTATCAGTTAATCAACTAAACCGATTAATTGCCCCAGCGCGATAATACGTATTCGCCAATGTATGTCATTGCTGTTTATATAATTTTTTCATTTATGTGCTTGATTTTTGTACAATATGTTTTATAAATTTATTTCGTATATGTTAGGTTATTGCCAACACAATAAATAACATGTTTAATGTGCTCTTAGTTATGGACAACAAATAAAATAATTAGAATCAAGAGGTATTAAACATGCTCAATTACAAAACATACGGTATCAATTTTCCTGAATTTCAATATGTTGACAATTTACCACTGCGAGAAACGTTATTTAATGTTGCCGATCATGGAGAAATACTACATACTTTATAAATTATCGTCTAAAACCAAACATGTAAAAAATATATCGTACCATACTATTACCAAGTTACCCGCACTGCACCCAATCTCATCAGATCTCTGAAGATCAGCAGAATTGAGGCCAGATAGTTCATGGATTAGTGACCACAATGCATGAAACAGCTTTTCATAGGGCTTGTGGGCTTACGTGGTGGGTATCAGGGGGCAGTACAGCAGCATCCATGATTTGACTGCGCTTCTACGCTCCCGCATCTGTGCTCCCCACCTTCGCCAACCCACACTGATGAGCGTGGTGAAGTTTGGTCTAATTACCCCCATGACCCCCACACAATGATGGGATGCTTCATTTGTCCATCCCAACGAGAATGCAAATGACGGCATCTCTTTGGCTGATGAAAAACACCCACTTAAAACCAAATCCCAAACACTCCCAATAATAAGCTGGTCAACAACAAGCTGGAATTACAAGTGCGTGTGCTTATGTGTGACCCCACTGACCCTCGGTATGATTGTGACCCTATGAACCTCTCGTGAGATATTGCTGGGCCTCTTTAGGATGGTGCATTAGAAAGCAAACGTGTTGTTTTCCTTGCAGTGTTTGAATCTCAATATCGTATTACTGCAATGTGATGTGTTCCTGCATACATATGGCTGTAAGTGTCTGCATTGTATGCATTGTGGTGTGTAAAAATGAATCCATTAACCCAAAAAAAATCACCACGATCCTAACATTTTTGCATTTTTATTCAATTACTTATCACCCCTGATTATCATTATTTCTAATATAATTAGCATATACTAAAACTTGACGTTGTGAACGCTTCATCATGTGTAAATTGTAAGTGGACCGTGTCGTGGCTGTAGACGTGAAGATGTAATTATACGCATTTTTTTATTCATAAACATATGATCAGCAGCGTTAAGAGCATCTGTTGGCAAGCTACTATTTAAACACTCCACTTTGAACACAAATTGTTCTGACGCGTTAATGATTCACCAATTAACGTACCTTAAAATGTGTTCCACTTTGCAAAACAAGTCAATGAATAAACATTTGGGGCGATGCTAAATTGTAAAACATGTCACCATGGACATCCGTTTCGTTATGCACAATTCACGAAATTATGTCTTTGAGAAAAGTTAAAAACGTTGAACAAACATCACCTGAAAATGACATTGGTATTAACGTGTTTTGTTCATTCGCTGTTGAGTAGGCAATCAAATCCTGCTGTGTACGTGTAGCGTCGGAAATACATATCACACGCAACCCTATGTACACTTACCTGTAGTTGCGGGCACGGGTCTGTAGGGGGTGCCACCCTGAGCTAGAGAGAGCTGGACCGTTGAGATGCCGAGTTCCCCCGACCCCAGGTGAGGGGTTGGGGGGTTATTCCAGAGCCCCCTGGAAGATTCCAGAAAGGGGGCGGTACCGGGGGCGGAGAGTCCCCGAGGTGGGTATAAAAGACGGACCTCAGGACGGCTCGAGGCAGTGCTCTGAAGACGAAGACTGAAGACCAGCTAGGCTAGGACCCTGGGACCCCCGGTACCCAACGGGGCCGAGCGCGGACCAGTGATTAAGACCCGCACCCTGGCTGGGTCGGATCAGCGTAGCCTCCCCTAGGTCACCCTTAGCCGGAGGCTGAGAGCCTGTGGTCCCAGTAATAGGGCAGCGGGTAAAGGGGCCGTCACCCCTTTGTGTTAGGGACCGATAACGTTATTGTAACGTTTATTGCCATAAACGTGTTGCCTCTAAAAGCTACGTCTCCGTGGAAACCCACTACATACGTATCAGAGAGCAGCACTGATGTTCATAACAATCATGTAAAATCTTGAATTTAAGCTTTCGTGACTGCAGGAATTCATATTCTTAAAATGTGTTCCACTTTGCAAAACAAGTCATAATGAATAAACATTCGGGGCGATGCTAAATTGTAAAACATGTCACCATGGACATCCGTTTCGTTATACACATTCACGGAATTATGTCTTTGAGAAAAGTTTAAAACGTTGAACAAACATCACAAAAATTGACATTGGTATTAACGTGTTTTGTTCATTCGCTGTTGGGTCTTTCGGTAAAGCCACGTAGATAGAACAATATTTATTAAAACTAAATACAATAATTTTTCTGTTTAACACGTAGGCTTTTCGCGACCAATATTATTCATAATCAACGTTTTTGGGTTTAGATCGCATTATTTATTCACCATTCTGGCGAATTGCCCGATGATGCTGGATGCAATTACCAGCGAAACGTCGTACTCAAAAAAAAATTGTAAATATTGTGGTTTCACGCTTCAACACACCGGTGGGCTAAAGCAGTGAACTATTTGTCTTTTGTCAACGTGACATTTTTTACTGATTGGCCGTGTCGGGTGGTGGAGGGTTGCGACACATTTATAAATAACGCGATCTAAACCCAAAAACGTTGATTATGAATTATTTTTCTATCTACGTGGCTTTACCGAAAGACCCAAAGAATAACAATCGTGTATGTATGTTGAACTTCTTTCGCACAGTATGTAACCAACCGTGCTAATCATCAGCGGCAGCCATGGTCAGTCCACTGCTGGATGAAGACCTCCCCAAGCCGCCCTCCTCCTCTCGCTGAGTCTGCGATGCACGGACACACGTAGCATCTTCACGCGAGGTGATTTCATCACTCCATCTCCTCGGTGGACTTCCTCTGGGATGCGTTCCATTCCTTTGGCTGCCACTCCGTTGTTACGCTTGGCCATCGGCCATCATCCCTAACGCTCTTTAATGTCAGTGTTAGGGAGGATGAAACCAGTTAAAAATGGCCCGCTTAAACACATTTTTCTGTAGAACATTGGCCCGGAAGGGCCATAGTCTGATGGAACACCACAAAAAACGAAATATATATACACATTCCATGGTGTGGTGGTTAAAACAGACAATTGTACAAGGTGATCCATTTTTAGATATCCCATTGATTTTCAATGGCCCTTTTTGCTCCACAATAGCTGACTGAAAACTGCAACTGTGTCTGTTCAAAATGTTTAGCATACTTTCCGACATGCAACAAACTTGTGTTTTCTCCTACAACATCAGAGTGCAGCGCCACATTAACTACACACTACAATGACAATAGTTTAAAGCGATTTGAAGCATGTTTTACTTTTTGGGAGATGGGACAGAGCTTTGTGACGTCATATTTGAGGGGGGGGTCTGACTTTTTGTGACGCCGTGTGACGAAGGGGGGGGGGGGTCAAAATCGTCCAAAATCGTGTGACGTCATTTATGGACGGCCCCTAAAACCTATTATATTTCGATTCGGCAAGGGAGGTCGCATGTTGTATCTATAAATGGATCGCTTTGTAAATGTTACTTAAACTAAGATCATATTGCTCCCAGCAGATGGCGCGCTCTCAAAAAAATGCGAGATCTCGTCCATCGGTCGCACTTTAAAACCTGCATTTGTTGGGTTAATAACCAAAGGCACCGTATTGTTCGGCTCATAAGACACTCCGGAAAGTAAGGCTCACCCCTAACTTGTGTCTGGTTGCAAACAGGGTTTTATCCACTTCTATAAGACAAGTTATACAAATGAATGTACTGTGTACTGCATACAATTCCTTTCTACTTTGAAGAGGCCTACGGTTAAGTCACGTAGAAGGGAAACAATACAATTATAAAAATATAAAACAATAAAATTCTCACGACGCAGGTGTGTTTTTCACACCTGATGATGATTGCTTGTGTTGCAGTCGAAATGTCGTGATAATTTAATTGTTTTATATTTTTATTATGCTATTGTTTCCCTTCTACGTGACTTTACCGAAAGAACCAAGAATATTAATCCCTGCAGTCACGAAAGCTTTAAATCAAAATAAAAGGTCTACGGTTCTCAATACGTAACTCTATCAATTGATAATGTTTGAGTGTGTGTGGTGAGTGTGTATGTCTGATTCTGCATGCAAGTCTATGGGTCACGACAGCGTATGGTAGTCCCTGGACATATATATGTGAGGATAGTGGATTGTGACGACAGGATAATGGTTCAATGCAAATATGTCGTAGGCAGGAACCCCATTTCGTCTCTCCAGAAATATTGCAAATATACGTCCGTCCGGTCAATCAGCCAGATCGCTTTACAGACCAATATTTTAAAAGCAGCATTCGTTTTAGCCAGTGGTTCTTAACCTGGGGTGCACGCACTCCCTGTGGGTGCAAGATACCCTTTCTTGGGGGTGCGAGGCATGGCCAGATGTGTTTTTTTAATAAGGCAAATAATCGAAAACACCAATTAAGCATGGGGCATGTAAGTACAACTACTTTGTTTAATCAAACCCTATGTATGTATATACATAAAAGGGAAATGTGTGAATATGTGTGTCTGTTCGAAATGTTTAGCATACTTTCCAACATGCAACAAACTTGACATTTGTCATGTGGGTAGCTTGCAGACTGGACACAATGCAAAAAGTATAAAAATAGACTTTTGTATTTTTTTTTGGGGGGGGGGGGGGCGCAATAATGATTATTTTGCACGGCAAGTGAGCGGTGACGTCACATCTGTGATGTCACCCGCATGCGGCAGCGTCACGCAGTGTGCCTGCTGACGTCTATTAATCCAAGATAAGAATCCAAGTCCCGGGCGAAGCCGGGTAGTAAAGCTCGTTAACATTATAAAACATTATAACGACTTAGAACACAAAGGGGTTGCAGAGCTGCTGTGAAGGTTAATCATTACCACAGGTTTAAGCGATCAAGCAAAACTCTGTCCCATCAGCAGAATCAGGCTTGTCAAACAAATGCATCGACATTTCCAGGAGCTATTTTGCAAGCACACTCCATAACAAAAAAAATTGTGACCCCGTCAAATGCCAAAAAGAAATATCGTGCACACAACTACAATTATTTAACGAAACTAAACATCCATAATAGAGGTTTTTTTTTGGGTTAGATCGCGTAAATGTATAAATGTGTCGTTAAAACCCGCCACCACCCGACACAGCCAACTAGTAAGGGTTGTCACGTAAACAGAACGTGGCCAATTCGTCACTAGTACAGCACTAGTGTGTAGTGTATAGTGTACTATACTAGTACAGCACTAGTGTGTAGTGTATAGTGTAGTGTATAGTGTACTATACTAGTACAGCACTAGTGTGTAGTGTATAGTAGTGTATAGTGTAGTGTATAGTGTAGTGTATAGTGTACTATACTAGTACAGCACTAGTGTGTAGTGTATAGTGTAGTGTATAGTGTACTATACTAGTACAGCACTAGTGTGTAGTGTATAGTAGTGTATAGTGTAGTGTATAGTGTAGTGTATAGTGTACTATACTAGTACAGCACACCGGTGTGTTGGAGAGCCAAGCCACAACATGTAAATGTGTGCTGTACTAATGACGAATTGGCCACGTTCTGTTTTCGTGACAACCCTCACTAGTTGGCTGTCGGGTGGTGATGGGTTTTAACGACACATTTATATATTTACGCCATCTAACCCCCCAAAAAAACTCTATTATTAAACTAAACACATTTTGTTTATTTTACCAGCTAAGGCCCACTGTGAGCTCTGTAGCTCTTTTTCAGAAGCGACTGGGCCACAAATGAAAACTCAACGAAGCGGCCAATCACGCTGAAATGTACAGCAGCCAAATAGTCTGCGCGCATGTTTCTAAAAATGCAAAACATTTACTTCTGTGGCTCCCAACAAGAGCCATTCTCTTAATTATAATAGGCGCAACCAATTAGCCACAGTAACACACGGCACTATCGCAATACGGTAATTACCAGCTCCATGAAACCCTAATGGGGCCATTCAAAGCGAATTGTTCAACAACAGCAACGCAGAGACGGGGTGGGGAGGGCGGTGGTGGTGGCGCGCGTGACTTCACCCACAATGACGGTCACAGTCCAGCAGATGTCAACACTGCCACTCTCACAGCGGCGCGTCAACCAACAGCGCTCTCCGTGCATGGCCCCGTTACCATCGCTGCTGCTGATGCTGCTGCTGACGATGATGATGATCATCAGCAGCAGCGGCAGAGCTTTGCAAAGCTCGCAAACGGCCACGAGTCTCATTGCGCCTGCGTGATCCACGCTGAGACTACGCACCCACCTGTGTGCACACATAGCCGTCGTCTAGTGTATAAATACTAATATAGATCGACTTGATATAATTAAATACATTCACACACCCGCACGAAACTAGCTTGGACTGCACATTTTGTTTTTTTTAATTCAGACCAGATGTGGCATTCGTTGGTCGCGTGATGTCCAGCTGACAAGCATCGAGTCGTCGTGAGCTCTTGCGAGAGACGGTGCCGAAAGATCGCCCCAAAAAGAAAGAAAAACATCCGAGTGCAGGAGTTTCCCAATTTCCACTCGTCACTTATGCTCAATACGCAAGCGCTCAGATGCTGTTCAACCAGAGGCAGCTGGGGAGCGGTGGAGCAGGCGGCGGAGGTCGCTGCAAATCGAGGGGCGCACGCAGACCGCTCAGGATGCAAGGGTGCAGCAGTAGCAGCAGCAGCAACAACAACGGCAGTAAGCAGGGAGGATACACCAACGAGTCGTTCGTCTTCGATGACGGCTACAGGGATGACAACTGCGACGAGAGGTAACTTCGTGACCGGCTAAACTCGCACTCGCTCACTCAGGCAAGCACTCACCAAACTCATTCGAATCGAGATTGAAGCACTCACCCACTCGTTCGCGCACTCACGCATTCACGCACTCACTCATTCACGCACTCGCGCACTCCCACACTCACCCATGCACTCACATACTCACCAATTTGCGCAATTACCCACTCACTCATTCATGCACTCACTCGTCCACTCCCGTGCTCACTCATTCATGCACTCATCCACTCACTCATTCATGCACTCACTCGTCTACTCCCGTGCTCACTCATTCATGCACTCACTCACCCACTCACTCATTCATGCACTAACCCCGTCATTCACGCACTCACCCACTCACTGTCTCATTCACTCACGCACTCATTCACGCACTCATTCATTCACGCACTCACCCACCCACTCATTCACGCACTCACCACTCACTCATTCATGCACTAACCCCCGCATTCACGCACTCACCCACTCACTGTCTCATGCACTCTGTTCTTTGTGAGTATGTATCAGTGTTGGCTGAGGATGAAATGTTTGGAAATCACTATAACAGCTTCCAATGCTGATAAGGGGTGGTGTCACTTGGTGTATAGTTGATGTCTATACACTGTGTTGTTTCTATGTACCGCATGTTGTTTGGTATTCTCTGACATTTCGCTCCACGTTGCTGGGATCTTCAATTCGTCAATAAGCTCCTAGCAGCTCTAAACGTCCGAAAACACATCATAGAGCTATGCAGCACAACTACAAACACCTCTACAGGAGCTGTTACAAAATATACATCATTTATGGCTTCGGACAGCATTATTTTTTAAACTATTTTTATGTTTTCCAGGTTAGGCCCACTGAGGTATCTAGCTCTTTTTCAGAAGCAACCTGCCCACAAATGATAGCTCAACGAAGTGGTTTATCGTCGCGTGGAAATTGATGTCAGCTAAATGACTCGACACGCATGAGTATAAATGTGGAGGGGAAAAAGCGGAGGACCCGGAGGAAAAATCCACGCGACCACGGGGAGAACATGCAAACCCCAAATATACAGACGTCACGGTCGGTATCGAGCCCACGACCTATTGTATACCAGGTGATGTAATTAACATCTCGCCACTGTGACATAATTGAGTCATGGTTTCCAACAAAATTTGCTCTATGTTTGGCAAAAGTCCTGAAGCGCAAATGAGCTAATAAGGATGATAATGTGATTTCTATAACCAGCAAAGCCTCACTGAGTCTCAAGACTTTTGCAGGCGGGTCCTACGACACTCCGATGTTTGACCAATTCCATTCACGCGTGGGAGGAAAACGGAGTTTGCGGAGAAACCCAAAATCGTACTCGTACAACCCCACGCAGCTACATTAAGAATCCACATCTGTATCTGATACCTCCTGGACATCTTGTAGACCACGATTACAAACACCTGGTAATTCCAGACAATCTCCCATCCAACAGCTAGCCAAGCTCAATGTTGCGGAGCTTCCGAAATCTGCCGAGATCGGGCATTTTCAAGGTAATTTGGTCACTTGTGATTGTGATGATAGTAACGACGATGATGATGATGTTCGTCATGATAATGAAACAGACTCGTGGATAGAAAAATAAATGAATGAACATTAAGATCCCTAGGTCGGTGTTGTAAATTCCACATTTTCATGGCAGAGGCTAATGTATCCTTAAATTTACCACTTTGTGCCTCCCTACAATACTCTATATCATACCTCACCAGGTTTAGTAGCTTATTTATTTGGTAGCCTTTTGTCAATCTACTGCTGGATGAATACCCCCTCTCTCGCCATATCGGTCATAAAGGATTGTTTGACCATACTTCATCACGCTGGTCAATGTGGGTTGGTGACAGGGGGCACAGGACTTGTTCATATATCACTTGCCACCGAGGTGAGCTGTGGCCAGGAATCGAACTCAGGTAGCCAGGTTCATGTGCCAACACTCCCACCTTTGTTGCCTATTCACGTACCATCATTTATGCCGACTGCAAATACATGCTAATAACTTAAAATCATGTCTATACATTCATAAACACTGGTCTCACATTTGAATCATTCCAATTTTTTTTAAGAAGTGTAAATTTCTGCCTTTTATTTACTTGTATCGTCGTGTTTTTTTTATTTAAATAGTCATTTGTAGCCTTTATTTTCGACAATAAAGTCCCATGTCTTCCCTTGTACACATCCTGTGCTTTCAAGGTAATGGGTGCCGTGATCGCGAGGTGTTAACTCCCTCGCCTAGTATGCATGAGGTCGTGGGTTTGATCCCGATCCTGACTGCCTGCTGTATATTTGGAGTTTTCATGTTTCTCTACCCGTGGTCGTGCGCATTTATATCCGCGTCCTCCGGTTTTTATCTTCACATTTATAAACATGCATTTCGAGTATTTGGCTGCTATAAATTTCCACGTGATAAGCCACTTCGTTGAGCTTTCATTTGTGGCCAGGTCGCTTCTAAAAAAGAGCTGCATAGCTCAGTGGGCCCTTACCTGATAAAATAAAAAATTGTAATTTAATTTGGTAACATCGATGTAGAAAGGTCGACGCACAGTAGCACCTTTTTGGTTTTGAATAATTCGCGAGAGGCAGATCGTAAGATATTTCACCATGTATGCAGAATTACCGTGAAGTTTCTGGCTTTGCCATAGTTGGCTGTGTAGCTGTATCTAAATATGAAAATGCACACCTCCACCTCCGAAATGCGCACCCATGCACCACACATTCAGTACTCGCCACACTCAAAGTGAAGAACGTATTGCACTGGCGCACGTTAACGAGTTTAATTTTTTATCTTATAGGCTTTAACAAGTGGTAAATCTGTACCCTTCACATATGTTGAGTGTATGGTATCTTATTATTACAGTAAGGACGTTTTAACAATTTGAGAATTAATCCGAAAAAAGCTCAACTTTAAGCCTCAATACGAAATTTTGGATAATCCGAATTTTTTTTGTTTCAAATTGATCCTAAGCATGGCGCCACAGGAAACAATCATAATAACAAGATAATAAATGCAACAATATTCGCTCGCTCTCGAACAGGGAAAACGACGTGTCGTGAGGAACCACAGACAAATGGGAAAGGCAACCACGCTTTGATCCGGAGAAAAATCCCCCTCCAAGCTTTGCGGTCCTCTGTATATTAAGATACTATCTTCCATATAATGGGTGTTTACACATGTGCGAGGGGGTAACAGTTTATCTCATATTGATGGAAGAGATGAAGGTTAGTTCACGCTGTGTTGCACCAGATTCGCCTGGTAAGCCAGGGTACAGCACCTCGGTGTCCATGAGGGTGGAGTCTCAACAACGCGCGTGTCATCCACCAACTCTCGCTGCCACCACAGTGCTGGATTACAGGCGTGTGCCACCACCCCCTGGACTGAATGCCATCACATACGTATTTCCGGCCACATGTATTCACGTGACATCATGTGACATAACTTTTGTGAGCATGAATATTGCTTGAGTTGTTTCATTATGTAGACGATCCATACATCGAAACATCCAAGAAGAGATCTGACATTGTCCTAAGGCACCTGAAGATATTAAAATGTCCAATCCGAAAATTGTGCCTCGGTTACACTGTCAGTGAAAACTTTATCCGAGCTGTCCCAGTCTTGCCAGCGAACAAAACGAATCCTTTTAGCATCACGTAATTTGGCATAATAAAGTCTATTCCTGTGATGTCTGAATGAATCACGTAAATTATGGCTTTTATATCATTAAGTACACACAGGCACCAAATCGCACGTGTTGAGCACAAAGAAAATGCATTTTTCAGGCTGTTTTATTTAAAAACGTCTGATGTTAGCTTATTGTTGCTTCAATCACACGGGGGAAAAATATTGCAGAGTTAAAATTTCCATCTCCCAGCCGCAAGCGTTCTGACAAATCCAACGGTTAGAAATATAACCAGCCACCCTGCTTTTTTTGCATCTATATGCTAACTTTTAATTGTAGTCTGTGCTTACAACAATGGGGTTGTATTGGAAGTTGTCAGATATTAAAGAAAGCACTCACGTCAGCAATAGCCGACCACTAGAATAAGGCAAAGACATTTCTCGAGACCCAAACTCCATAAACAATGTAGCTGTTTAAAGTAGTTTTTTTTCATTGAGTCTTTTATTTTTCTAAAAGAGATTTTACCTGATATGAACGCAATTAGTACCACGCTTGGCCACCTGTATTGCCCCAGTGCTGACGTCTGTACACGGTAACAGGTACTCATTAAGCATTGTGATGATGGGTAGTGGTGGTGGTGATAAAAAATATATATACATAATTGAGTATGGAAAGAGGGTCTCCCCAAATCCGTAACGGGGCCATCAAACTTAATCCGGTCCTGCTTTAAACATAGCACAGGACGTCCTTGATGTGTGCGCATTAATGACCATGGCTTACCCACGTCAGGTTTGTTTCGAGTAATACTGCATAACGGAAGCTATAGCTAAGACGTCACACACAGCGGTGACGTAAGTTTCTATTCTGTCAAATTATTTTAATGTTGACTCACTGCCCCTCTGGACATGTAACAGATTAATAGGAATACAGCTCTGTTGAGCAGTGTAAAAATGAGCATTGGGGCAGTGCTCATCGTCTGTTCATAGCCCTGAGTCAGTGCTGGAAATTCCACTTTCCTATGGCAGGGGCGAGTATATCCAGAAAACAAACGTAGTTGACTTTGCCACATAGGTGGCACTTGTTGTATTCATGCCGGAGGGATGATGGGCTTAGTCAACCCCCAACCAGGATTTAAACTCTCAACATTGTGATGGCAAGCCGCTCGCTCTACCGCTGACGGTGTGTGTTGCTGTGCAATTTGAGTAAATCTACCCATCACCATCAATGGTGCTTTAATGTCAACTCATTACAGTTACATTCACTCGTATGATGTTTCTTGCCACTTATACTCAATTACGTGTTGTCGAGTAAGAGGGCACCGTGACCATCCTGCATATTCACTCTCTTCTCAATTCATA